ATCTATCTATCTATCTATCTATCTATCTATCTATCTATCTATCTATCTATCTATCTATCTATCATCTTTCTCTCTCTATCTATCATCTATCTGATATACATACATACATACATATATATTGCAATTTGGTGTATGCAAATTCTACACAAATGGAGTGAATTCCATCCCAACAGGCCGACTGTGGATAATGTCCCCCACTTCCTCCCCCTCCCCCCCATGTGAGAAAGCAGGGAGGATTATTTTCCAGGGCTGGAGAAAAGGAGGGGATTTTCTTCAGGAGGGGATTCCTCCTCCTTAAGATGCAGCTTCAGCCTTTCGCCCTTGGAAGCTGCTTCTCAAGCTTTATTTTGATTCCTGAGCCTCAAATATCTGCACACTGTGGACACACTCACACTCACACACACACACGGGGCTTGGGCTTTCTGTTTCCACCATTAGGCGGCTCAGCCATCAGGCCAATCTGTGTGCTCTGAATGTGCCAGAGATTCTACAGCAGAGGCTTCCAGCAGTGGCACTTTCAAGACCTCTGGACTTCAACTCCCAGATTTTCTGGCTGGGGAATTCTGGGGGATGAAGTCCAAGGGTCTTAAAATGGGTGGGGCCTTCTCTAAGGACCCCTGAAGTGAGGCCCCGGGATTTCCTCCCTGGGAGTTGCGGGCACCATTTCAGGGAACCTGGGCTGCTGAAAGGCCGTGGGGGGTTTGGGGAGCCAGGGGAGAGGGAGGGGGGGAGAAGAGGGGGGGAAGGGCTTGCTGGCCACTCACCCGTCCGTCATGGGTGAGCAGGATGGAGTCGCTCTTGATGTCCCGGTGGATGACGCCCTGAGCGTGGAGCACGGAGAGAGCCTTCAGCACGGAGAGGCAGACGGCAGCAATCTGCTCTTCGTTCATCCTTCAAGGAAGAAGAGAAAAATGGCCCTGATCCCTCTGGGATTCTTTCCTCTGCTCTTATATTATCCAGAAAGGTTAAAATGCAACACGCTAAAAAGTGTTTTAAAGGCACCGAGAAAAAACACAAAAGGAGACATTAAAAGGTGGCGCATTAAAACAACAGCAACGCATCTTGCCCCGCTTTTGAACACTGATGAATATATACAGGCAGTCCTTCGTTTATACGACCACAACTGAGCCCAGGGTTTCTGCTGCTAAGCGAGACAGCTGTTAAGTGAGTCTTGCCCCACTTCACGCTCTTTCCTGCCACAACGGACTTTGCTTCCAAAAAGGTCTCAAAGGGGATCATGCGACTCTGGGGCCGTCATAAATGTCATCACTTTGAAAGATACACTTTTTCCCAGTGCCCTTGTAACTTTGGACAGTCACTAAATGAACTGTTGCAAGTCGAGGACTACCTGAATTAGGAGAACATTAGTGGGCACTTATCCTTCTGCCCTGGTTCTTGGCCTGGAAGGAAGTGGCCGATGCTCAGAACGGCCGCCCAGCGGGGTCTGTCGTATGTGCAGAGATGGCCGGCCCCCAAGGGTCCCAGTGCGGCTCAGCTATCCCGAGGGACGGGAGCAGCCCCCCCCTCTTACCTGGTGTGGGTGACGATGTCGGTCAAAGCGCCCCCCTCCAGGAACTCCATCACCACCCAGAGCTCATCGCCCACCAGGTAGCTGTTGTACATCTCCACCACGTTCTCATGCTGGTAGTCCCTCATGATCACCACCTTTGGGGGGGAGGGGGGGAAAGGCAGGTTGGAAGGGAAGAAGGACAAAGGTATCACCTTCTGGGGGGGGGGGGATGTGGTGCCTCAAATGGGAAGGTGCTCCAGGTGGGAGGTGTAACCTAAACTCCCCCACCTGGGCAGAGCACAAAGACCCTCTGTACACTGCTGGGGCACAGGAAGAGGGCCGTGGGGGGTATCTGCAGACCCCCCCCCATTCTGGACGGTTCCAACTGCTCCCCTCCCTCAGGACTCTGCTGCAGAGCGAGACACAGGGGGGCTTTCCATCCCTCTGCTGAGCAAGCAATCCTCTTTACCTCGAAGGACATTTATCATTATCATTATTATTATTATTATCCTTCCCATCTTCTCTGCTCCCCCCTCCCTCCTCCTGGTAGCCTTCTCTTTGCAGGCCCAAAGAACTTCAGCAGCAGAGCCCAGTTCCTTGTGTGTCTGACCACACGTGGCCAAAGAAAGCATTGAATCCCCTTGAATTCATCCCTCTGGAGGTTCTGAGTCCTCCAGGCCACGGTGGCCTCAAAGGTGCTTTTTCTTTGAAGACCTTTCGCTCCTCACCCACGAAGCTTTTTCCGTTCTGACTGAATGTGAGAGTTCCCATCCTTTTTGGCCATTCAGTCAGAACCGAAGAAGCTTCTTGGGTGAGGAGCGAAAGGCATTCAAGGGAAGAAACGCCCAGCCGCCTTCGGGTCAGTTCAACTCACCTCGTTGAAGAGCAGCTCCCGCCTCTGCTGCTTGCGCAGGTCCATCTTCTTGACGGCCACCAGCTTCCCGGAGCTCTTGACGGTGGCGATGCAGACGATGCCCGTGGAGCCCTCCCCGATCTTGATGAAGTTGTCCAGGTAGCTCCGGGGGTCTCCGGGGTCCACCACCATCTGCAAGGCAGCCCGGAACTGTTCGTGGGAGACCCGCTGGGGCTCCCGCTGGGGGGAGCAGGGCTGCTGAGGGGCCGGGGCAGTGGGGGCCGGAGGCCGCTGGGGAGGGGGTTGCGGAGAAGGCAGGTGGGGGTCCGAAGCGTGTTGGGAGAGTCCCGGAGTCGAGGGCTCCAGGTTTCTGGGCCTGGCTGGGCCCGAAGGGGGGACCCTGGAGGGGCCGCTGTTCCCACTGGTGGGACCGTTGGAGGCTGCCTCCGGGCCTTTCCCGGGCCGATGCTCCGCCTGGAAAGAGAAAGCCATCCTGACTGCAGAGCCCCCACTGGGCAGGGGACGGCCGAAGGGGGAGAGGCAAAAGACCCCGGAGCCTCCCAGCCCCCTCCTCCTCAGCACAAGGAGCCCAGGACAAACCCCGTGGCGTGAAGGGGGTTTGCTCCCACTCGTTTGCAAAGCACGGGGGCCGTCTTTGGGCAGGCCGGCCGGCAGGGCTCTCCAACAGTGGCAACTTCATGTCTTGTGGACTTCAAATCCCAGAATTCCCCAGCCAGCTCTGCTGTGCTCTGCTGCCCGGGGGATTCTGGGAGTTGACGTCCACAGGTCGTAAGGTTGCTACAGAGCATCACCTGCGCAGTCCCTTCTTATGGCCATAAAGAGCTTGGGGCCAGCCCAGCTCTGTGCTGCTTAGTCCCCCCCCCCCCCCCAACCCAGCCTTATCCCTCCCTCGGGGTCAGGCAGAGTCTCCTAAAAAGCCTGCTTGTAAAATTGTAAACCCTCCTTTTCAGTGGACTTGGGGAGTCCATTTAGCTACGCTGAGGGCCGGGCCCTTCCAAAGGACGAGCCCCGGCAAGGGCCGAATCGGTGCTCCTCTCTCTCTGCTTCCTGCAGAAGGCAGCCGGCTGAGCGAGAGAGAGAGAGGGAGACGGCCAGGGAGCACGGCTTCCTCCTCGGGGATCAGCGGGAAGGGCTGCAACCGGGGACAGTTCCCTCCTTGTGTGAAAACTGAGTTTTATGTCTAATCTCTGGTCCCGTAGTAAGAGAAGGCAGAGGAAAGAGTTGGAGGCAGAAGGCAGAGCAGGTTGATGGGTTCCACAAGAACTCGAGAGGCCGTTGCGCAGCTGCAGAGTTTCCACCAAGACAGACAGAGAAGTTGACAGTGGCAGCAGACGGTTATTCGCATGAACACACAGGAGAGGAGACCAAGCGGAGAGCAGAGGGCAAGATGGACGACACAGGAGGGACTCCGGTTAGTGGGAGCAAGGAAGGAGAGCGCCCAGGAAGGGCAGGAGTCTGCGGCTGATGGGAGGCCGGAAGGCGAGGGAGAAGCACCGAGGAAGCAGAGGAAGGAGAGAGGAGGACCCAGGAGAGGAGCAGGACGGAGCACAGAGGAGGAGCGGGCTCTGCTCTGGCCACCAGGTGGTCCTCCGGACGCAGAGAAGGCGCTCGGAGCTCACCCCCTGGTCAACCAGCTAGGCTACGCTGAGACGGTGGCTTAAGAGAGGGGAAACGTGGCCTTTGTTAGGGCAGAAGAGCTCAGGCGTCCCGAGAACGGCATCTCCAGAGGGTCGATCCAGGCTGGCCAGACCCACCAGGGCCCCAAGCGCCGAGATGCCCTAGGAGGGTTTACCTGAGTGCCCCGGACAAGATCGGTGTCTGCCCGTGGGTAGGTGTTAAAAGGCCGTCCCGTCTGCTGCGCGGTCTTCATCACCCCCTCCGAGACGGGGATGTTCGGGGTCCGGATATTGGGCCCAGAGAGGGGCCGTTTTTCCCGGGGGGACTGTGGGCTGGGCTGGCCAGTGTAGGTGGACTTGGGTCTCTTGTCAGGCCCCTCCATCCGCTCCCTCTTGACCACACGCTCGGCGGGGGGCTCCCTCTTCCTCTCCCGCTCAGGGGCCCGGTGTACTCCGTGTTCCGGCAAGGGCTTCGGGTGCTCAGGGGGCCGGGGGTGGCCAGACTGCTGGGGCGGCTTGTGGTGAGGCTCGTGTCCACGGGAGTGTGGTGCGGCAGTTCTGTCGTCCCAGCCCTGTTCCACATCGTTCTTGGGCCTGTGGCGGTTCCGCTCCTTGGGGTCTCTGCTCCTGCCGCCCCCGCCGTCCTCCTCCGTGTGGGGAGGGTGGTGGTGGTGGTGGGTGGGCTGGTGGTGGCGGGGCCTGCCCAGCGCCTCTCCCAGGCCGTTCTCCTGGTAAAACTGGTCGTGCCGGGCCGGGAAAGGAGGGCTGTCCCTGCGCAGCGAGTTGGAGCGCGACACCGACATGTTCTCAAACTCATCTAGCAGCCAGGCCAGGGAACCGTCCTTGGCAGCTTTGTTTCCGCGCACGATGGTCTTACGCGCATGGAAGGGAACATGGAGCAGGCGGGGGGGGGGGGGGAGGACACACAAACAGAAAAGAAAATAAAGTAAGCAACATAAAAAAAAATAAGGTGCTTGATGGATGCTTGACGACAATTTCAGCTTTGGCAGAAGAAGCACATGGCAGCAGGCGTGGCGGAGGGGAACACGGGGAGGAGGAGAAACAGGAGCATCACAGAGCCATTTGCTCGCTTTCGCCATCCACACTGAGATGACACCTTTTGCCAAATATATGAATGCTGATGATGGTGAATGACAGGAATGCGGAAGGCAGGGACTGAAAGGCAGCCTTACACCAACCTCCCCCCGCCCCCCCCCGGTCGCCCAGGGACTCCCCGATTTAATTCCAGACAGCTGTAAGTGGGGAGGTCGTCTTCTTCTTCCGATGGCCCCCCAAGCAAGTCAGATGCTCCTGATCTCAAACGGATCAGATCTTCGCAGTCTCTGAGATGTTTCAGAAGAGAGGATCTGCCAAGTCAGCCCTTCCCACCGGTCTCTCCGTCCCAGATGGGGCAGGGCCCCCTCAAAGGCTTCCCTAAGCCAATCGTTACAGACACACACACCCCTGGTCCCAGCGGGTGAGAAAGGCTCTACCTCGTCTCACCCCCAGGAGGTCCGTTTGCTCTCGGACGGGGGTCTCCAACCTGGGCCACTTTAAGGCTTGTGGGCCAGCTCCCAGAATTCCTCAGCCGGCACAGCTGGGAGTTGAAGGCCCGGAGTCTGGAAGCAGCCCAGTTTGGAGACCCCCGACTCTAGAAGGGCAGAGGGGGCTGCTCCTCACAGAAATGGAGGCCAGGGGAAACAACCGAAGGCAGAAATAAATCCATGGAAGGAGTGGTGTAAGTAGGAGGGCTGCCCTCTCCCTCCCTCCCTCCCTCCCCCTTCAGCCTGGGTGGGCTGGATGAGTCCCCAGCGGTCGAGAGCCACGCTTGACCTACGGCCCACACCGGGCAGAGCTCCACAATGGAGCCTTCCAGGGCGAGAAGCCTCACTGCCCGTCCAGACGCCCACGAGGCAGCTGGGAAGGGCAAGGAAGCCTCCGAGGGGCCGGCTGTGGACGGCAAGGGGAGGCGGAGCCCAGCAGGGAAAGGAAACCAGGGCGGCTGGATAGGGATACAGGGAGTCCTTGACTTATGGCCACAACTGAGCCCCAAATTTCTTAAGTGAGATGGTTACGTGAGGCTTGCCCCACTTTACGACCTTTCTTGCCACAGTTGTTAAATGAATCACTGCGGCTGCTAGGTCAGTCACGCAGTCGTTAAGTGAACCAGGCTCCCCCGCTGACCCTGCTGGGGAGAAGGTCGCAAAGGGGATCGCGTGACCCCGGGAGACGGCAACCGTCGTAAGTATGAGCCAGTCGCTTGATTCCCTGACCGAGGGGATCCTGAGTGAAAAGTGGCCATAAGTCCCTTTGTTCAGGGCGGTCGTAACAACAGTCCCTAAGCTGAGGAACCCCAAGTGGCGCCTGGACAAACTGCCCCAATCGACAGAGCAGGGGGGCAAATGAGCACTCCTGCCCCCCCCTGCCAGTCACGGGAGGAAGGGGGCCGGGTCCAGGCCTTGGGGGGAGCTGAGAGTCACAGGCCCTCCCCCCCAGAGGGGCTTTGCCCTCCCAGCCCTGCAATGAGGCATCGGACACTAAAGGGAGCCGTGCAGAGCCCTCCAAGGATGGAGACCCTCAGGATGCCCCTCCCCTGCCTGGAACCAGGGAGAGCAAACAGGGAAAGGGGGGCAGAAATTCCGCGCTTTGCAAGGGGTTCCTGGAAACGGCCAGCGACCCCCCCGCCATTTGCAGCTCTGAGTAAATTTCCGAAGCGTCTCCTGAGTAAGTAATGCTGAGAAAGCCCGTTGCAAAGACATTCCTCCCCTCCCTCTCCCTCACGGACCACCCGTTCTGCCTCCAACAGAAAGAACCCTGCAAAATGCTCCAGAGCCCCCCCTTCCCCCCCCCCCAAGAGCAGACCCTGTTTCCCCAACAGACCTTTGGACCCCTTCCACCAAACGCTCCCTGCCCAGGGAAGTGGCAGGCCCCCGTGCTGGGGTGGGGGCAAGGCAGATGGGTCTTCTGGAGTTGGGGGGAGATTCCTCCTCCACCCCAAAGGCCCGGAGGTTTCCTGCCATCCCAGCCTTCCTTTTGGGTCGGAGGAATCACTACACGGGGGGGAGGCCGGGACAGCCACTCTTCCTGGTCCCCCGTTGAGCCTCTCTCTGGTGCCATGGGAGGAGTGACCGCAGAGAGGCTGAGACCCAGCAGCCCTTTCCCCTCCTCTCAGGGCCGGCCTTGCCTTCCACGCCCAGCCAGGGGCACCTCCGGCGCCTGCAAGATGGAGGCCAGGGGCCTGGGGAGACCGATCCTCGCCCCTGGCTTCCCCCTCTGCAGAGGCCGTTTAAAGCCACGCTTCCTTGGCAGAGCCCAGCGCCAGCTGGCAGGTGGGCATGGCCGCCTGACCTCCTTCAGATCTGAACGTGGGAATGATTTGGCAAAATGCATGTTTTTCAATCAAGGAAGCTATTTTGCCTCCCTGAAATTACACATTTGCTCCTCTTTGGGCCCCACAGGTGGCTGGAAGCCGGAAACTGATATACCTGCTGCTCACAGATGCACCTGCCCTTCCACCCCCCAAATTATTCGGCCAGAACCTCAAGCAAGTGGCACCCATTCTCTGCCGTGCCCTCTTTATGCTCAAGGAAGCCTATCCAGGTGGCAAAGAGGAGATATCCGGGGGAGGACAGAGGGGTGGGTACAGGGGGTCCTTGACTTACAACCATTCATGAGCTGAGCCTCATGGCCAACCCCGAATGGCCACAGCCTGGGTCTCCGGGGCCGGCTCAAGAGGGGGCACCCTGGCACGGCTGCTGTGCCAAGATCCAAACCTTGGCAGCTGGGCATCCCTCAGGTCAGAGCTTTGAAAAGACGCAGGGCCTGGAGAAGGGGGCCTTTGCTGCATGGCAGCCCCCCTCTCACTGCTTGTGAAAGCTGAAGCCGGACTCTCGGCTGAACAAAGGAAGCTTCCTCCAAGCTCCGTTCCCACATGACGTGCCAGGAACTCAAGGGATGGGCCTCTCGTTCCCCCCCACAGGACCCAGTGAAGCTCATGAAGTCTCTTGAACCGGCCGCATCCCCTGAAGGTCTCTGGAGATTCTCAGCCACCCAAAGGGACTCACCTGGACCGTTTCTCCTCCGGAAGTCATTTCGCTTCCCATCCAAGAAGCTTCTTCAGTCCCCCCCCCATCCAGCCCGAACGGAAGAAGCTTCTTGGATGGGAAGAGAAACGACTTCCGGAGGAAAAAAGACACAGGAAGCCCCGTCGTCACCTTGAGCCCCAACGCCTCTCCTCTGAGCACCGCCCTTCCCTCCCCACCATCGGGGCCCACGCGAGAGCCCGGCACAGGGGCCACCAACCTTCTGAGAGCCGGGCTGGACGGCCGTGATGTACACGGGGTCCACCAGTGGCTTTGGCCGCTTGGCCGACTCCTCGATGATGCCCTGCCATTGCCTGGGCAGCCCCGTGAACTTCTGCTCCTGCTGGTCGTAGCCCGTGTGGACCCGGTGCTCGAAGTTGGAGGGGGCCGAGATCTCGATGCGCTTCTTCCTTTTGGTGAACATGGTGAGGTTGGCTAGGAGACCTGGAAGGAAGAGGGGAAAAGATCTTAGTGGAGCGAATCTTCTTATAAGTCAGCAGCTCGAGAGCCCAGCGTGGGACCCCCCACCCCCACCCCGTGTTCCCACAAGGATCCCCCCCCCCAAGGCTTAGGGCTTCCTAGTGAGCGTGTCAGCAGCACAGGAGACCCCCTTTCAGGAGGGGAGGCCAATGCTCTCTCCCTGATGCCAAGGGTGGCCCAGGGCTGAGGTACAGCACCCATGGGGGGCAAATTCAAACCCCCGTCCCCCCCGTGAAAGGCAGAGCTGAGCAGCCTTCCCTCCAAAGAATGCAGCTTGACCCTCAGCCTCAGCAGCTTCCTCTGGGTGGCTGGGCTGAGTTGGGGATGGAGAAGCGGGGAAGCTCAGAGCAGGGGAGGCTGCTTGGAAGAGGGACGGCGAAGGAAGGGGGGGGCTGCCGGCATGTCTGACGCTGCCCTGCTTCTTAGAAACATCTCCTGGCTGGAGGAGCGACGGCTGCTCCACTTTAATGACTCTGTTTTTCCAGTTCAGTAACGCCAGAGACAGCCAGAAACTCCCCCACACCCACCTCCATCCCTCCATCCTCAGAGCACGTGGGTTTCCCTCCTCCTCCTCTGCCCTCCACAGCCTGCCTCGGGCCCCTTGCTCCCCTGGGAAACTGCTTCCACCTGAATGCTCCAGGCTCCAAAGGGGACAAAGAGTTTTTTGGGGGGCGAGGGGGGTGTCTGGTGGCTTCCTCCTCTCGGGGAGCCTTGAGCTGATCTCATCCAGATCCCAGCCCTGGGGATCCCAAAGGCGTTCCCGGGATCAGCTGCAGAGACTCAGCACTCTGCCGCGTGTTTCGCCAATCCGGTTGGACCGGTCCTTCCGTCAGCAGAGCCTCCCCACCCCCTTCCGCTTGCCGAACTGGGCCAGCAGGCCTCCCTTGACCGAGACGGGGGGAGGCAGAGGAGACAGCCGTTCAGGAAGGAGCAGCAGTGAATCATGCCGCCATTTTTGTCAGGGCAGAGGAAGATCAGGCAGAGATTTAGAAAATTAGGGGTCCCAGGAAGCGTAAAATTAGCATTAGAGACAAAACCTGGGTCCGAAGAGTTCGTGTCAAGTAGCCCCAGGACTGTTTGGACCAGGAAAAGGTTCAGAAGGAAGAAGCGAGGGAGGAACGGAGGATTCTCTCCCGTCGGTCTCCTTCCTATGAGTGGAAGGGGAACCCAAAGGAATCTAGACGGCTAATCCCAAAGGCTGCCAGGCGTCATTGCCTCAGTGGGCCTCTCTTCCTTTCCTGCCTCTTCCTCCCACTGGTCAAATGCCCCTCCTGGAGCCTCCGGGACTTAGCAAGAGGCTAAGCAAGGTGTGTCACATGGCACAAACACACCTGCGTTCCCAGAGGAAAATCTCGGCCCGGTCTAGAGGGCCACAAGCGAAGACCCTCCTCTTCTAAAGGGCCTTTCCCTTGGCCACAAAAAGCAAGCCTGCCCACCCACCCACCCCCAGCCGGGTTGGGACCGCAGCCCCCTCTCTGCTGGCTGGGAATTCTGGGAGCTGAAGTCCACAGGTAGCAAAGGGGCTGAGCACCCTGGTGGTGAAGCCTATACAGAGGAGCCAGAACAGAACCACAGAGTTGGAAGGGACCTTGGAGGTCTTCTAGTCCAACCCCTGCTCAAGCAGGAGAGCCTCCAGCCTTTCAGACAAAGGGTGGTCCAGTCTCTTCTTAGCCTGGATTGTGAGTGTGCAAATCCAACGGACTTTATCTAAACCAGACTTCTAAGAACTCTCCCAGTTCTGGAAGGGGAATCCTGTCCCTACGCTGCCCACCCTTAAAGCAGGGAGAAGGGAGGGGTGTGCAAATATTCCTCCCCCGCCCCTTAGAGCAGTGGTCTCCAACCTTGGCAACTTTAAGACCTGTGGACTTCAACTCCCAGGGTTCCTCAGCCAGCAAAGCTGGCTGAGGAACCCTGGGAGTTG